TCTTCGCACTCCATATATAGACTAACATATTTGCGCTGTTGCCCCCAACCACACTTGGAGTGGGTTGTTTCCGTAGGTGGATTTTTGACACGGGTCTTGCCCGTGTTGAGATTGCGCTGGAACCCCCATTCCCTATACTACTTCAGTAGACTGAACTTATAAACATTTCTTTGATTTTGACTTTAGATACTTCTGGTAGTGGTGCTTATTTTTAAATTGTATTAGTTTTTTCACCTGGAATTCAAGGACCCTGAGGCCATTATGTATTAATGGTCTATATTTTCATCATTCAGGGCCCAGTCGTATGAAGGGTGGTTAGCGCTATCTGAGGGAAAAATCTTATCCAGTGGATAATTTCATTGGATATAACAGCATTGACTTATCCACTGGATAAGGAGTTATCTGCTCTCAGAATAGCGCTATCCAGGCATTGTAAAACCAGGCCCTTAAGAATAGCCAAAATTTTCATGCATATTAAAATTTACGACAATTTAAACCAAAATCACTTACAATTGATTTCATGTCCAAATGCGAAAGCCTTAAAGATGCTATATTTTCGTAACTGTGTTTTTTTTGCAGAGAATATGGTGAAACCTGGCATCGGGGAGGAATGCTTGCCAACAAACAAAATGTCTTTGATGACTTCCAGTGTGCTGCTGAGTACTTGATCAAGAACAAGTACACATCACCAAAGAAGTAAGTTACCAAGCTCTTGTACATTGTTATGCCCTGATCAAGATAATAGTTCCGACAGGGAAATTCAGGGATACACTTGCAATCAGAGTATGTAAAGGTGCTGATTGGGTCCTAAAACAGTACTCTGTGGAACACCTCTATTGATTTCTACAAATGGAGCCTCCTAACCAGCTTGTCACACTCTGCGTTCTTCCAGATAAGAAATTCATTAACCACTTGATGATATAAGGGTTGATGCCAGTCAACTTAACCTTATCACATACAATCTTATGTGATACCATATCAAAGGCTTTGGGAAAGTCAAAGGATAACACCCACAAAGTGGAAGTCTCGATCCAAGCATTTCATCCAAAAGTGTTGATTGTGAATTTAAGCCATGGTATAATTGCAGTCCTCCTTATATACGAACTGATCTTTTTGATTAAATGACTAATAATAAGTTATTTTCTGGCATTATTATTATTATGAAGTTATTCTACCCCTTTTTTGTTTGTAATCTTGTGGCTATAAGTAGCTCTCTTAACTCTTGTGCAAAAACAAGTTTTTCCAATAATCTAATGACTGCCATAATAGAAATAGGTTGTAATGAGTTAACAGAGGTAACCAGCGACTCCTTCAGAATAGGTAGCACATTTGCAGTCTTCCATATACCTGGGACAGAGAGTCTTGTTTTTGCAACAAAGTGTTAAAAAGTGTGTTATATCAGGTACGACTTCTAACACGAAAGAGTTTCCACCAATTAAAAGGCTTTTTTTACAAACGTGTCCAGCATTGACCAGCAAAGGGACCAAAAAAGATATCACCTAGGCAAATTCTTAGCCATTTTTAAAAGTTTTTGTTGCCAAGTGCACAAATTCTTGCAGTCTGATTGGCTTAAAACTAGTAAAGAATAAGGTGGGTGGTCACAATTAAGGATTTAATTGTACTCCTCTTGTCCAATCAGGATGGAGTAATTTTGTTGAGTGTATTATAAGAATAACTATTGTTCTGAACTGACTAGCTTCTCATATATGTCAAAATGCAAATTGTTTCCATGTAAATATGAGGCTTGTTAGTCCAGAACAATACTTATTCTCATAATACACTCAACAAACTACTCAATAATTTTTCATTTATTTTATGCCTACCAATAAACATATTTGGTGATCTATATGCTTGTCCTGGTACCATACATGGAAAACACAAGTAAAACAGCCAATAATATTAGACTGTATTTTTCCTAGGATTACAATCTGTGGTGGATCTAATGGAGGGTTGTTAGTGACAGCATGCATTAATCAGAGACCAGAACTCTTTGGTTGTGCAATTTCCCAAGTACCGTAAGTACCTATATGTTGTACTTGACAAATCCATGTCCCACTAATTTTTTTGTAGCTCGACATAGCAAAGGTTGAAGTGTGTCTCAAGGAAAGTTTTTTATTTTCAAAACGTGAATGTGAATAGTGTAGTAGTATAGTTGCAGTATTTTTGAATGAGATATAAACATTTGAAATATTAATATGCAAATGAGATGACGTAAATTCAAGACTAATTTATTATACAAAAATGCTGCTGTGGGAAGTACTGCTGTTTTTGGTTATTTGCAAACCATCCTCATAAGTAAACTATATGGCTTTGTACCCTTTTAGGTTATTTCACTTCAGAACACTAGTGTAAATTACCCTGCAAAATCTAACACATTCTTGAATTTAGGTCATCTCATTTGCATATTGATATTTCAAACCTATGCCAACAGCTAACATTTAACTTTACATGCCCTGTGCACTGGATTCCATACTTATAGTGAATCAAAACAAGATGGTATATATTGGTACTTTAGACCATCTCAATGACGTTTAAGTCACATTTGTTTAAGGAACATAAAACACTCTTACATGCCTCTGTACCTTAACGTTAACAGGCTGAGAGCTGTAGAGCACGAGATAAGCAACTTTTCCAGTGCTCTATAGCTCCCAGTGGGCTTATATCACAATACAGGGACATGAATAGCTATCTTATATTTCTTTTATACAATATTTTTGCACAAAAATTGTTTTTCCCTTTCTCTGATAGAGTTACAGACATGCTGAAATTCCAAAAGTTTACCATTGGACATGCGTGGTAAGTTAGATACCGGGGGGGTACTGGTTATTATGGTCGTCAAAAAAAACAATACGCGAGCTGACATAATAATAGGTTGCTATCAATAGACGTCACTTCCGGTAATAGCTCTTTTTTGATGGCTTGTAGAATCCTGTAGGTTGTTTTGATCTCTTGTTTTCTGGTTTGATGTCGTGAAAATAGCCATATACAATAGTTTGAGGACTTATTTTGATATGTTTTGACTTAGCATCCGTTAGTTGCCCCCCAGTCAACCGCTTGTTTGCCCCCYAGTCAACCGCTTGTTTGCCCCCCAGTCAACTGCAAAAAGTCACGTGATTGATAGTAAGCAATTGAAACAGGAACCCAGTGCAATAAACTATATCTTTTATCGTAGGGTCCACAAACTTGAGGTTTTTTTGTCATAAACAGGGTACCCCTTTCAGAATCCCAGCGGAACACCCCTACCCAAATTCTGGCGGAGTACCCCCCCCCC